AAATGTTAAGAGAATTGTTATATCACGAATGAAAGGTTTTCTATTCAAATAATATTAATTGGTAAGACTCCTATTCAAATAATATTAATTGGTAAGACTCTTTTCACAAATTACGTAACTGAATTTTTCGCAAGTTTAACCAAGATAATTTGGTGTAAAATGTAATACCTTTGTTTAATATTTTGCCTAATTTAAAGCTACATAGATTTTTCGCGAAAAAGTTATTTTTGCAAATCATTTATGCTTAAAATTATTAATATTAAAATAATTAGTAACATATACAAAAATTTTTGCTTATTAGTATATATTAGAGCTTTGATCCTACTTTTTAGAAGCCATTAGATTAAATTCAGATTCTATTTTACACATCCAGTTAAATTTGAATATAATCCAAATTGAGTAATACTCTCTTTGTTTCAGCAGTGTGAAAATAACTTTTTATATACATGCAAACTTTACCACTCAAAATGCTCAAGTTAAAATTGTATTTTTCCGACGCGAAAAGTCTATGTAGTAATTTTTTGGAAACCCAAATCTTGCAAAAAAAATAATAATTCCTATCATCGTTAGTTTCTTCTATTAGTGTAATTATTTTCCTATCATCATTGGTTTCTTCCTATCAGTGTTATTAAAATTAAAATTAAATTTATATGGGTCTTTTAGAAGTAAATAAGATGGTGTGTGATATTATATTAAAGATATGTTAACCATAGTGATAATCAAACAAGATACATGTTCGAATAATTTTTGTTAATTTGGACTTTACTCGAAAGGTTAATCATAAAAAAGAAAAATCGTCTTTTAACGTAATTCGTATTAACAAGAGATCTTGAATGGATCATGACAAAAAATTATGCTTTGAATTTTTGAAATAGTGAGCGGCCCCTTTCTTAGCATATAATTACGTACAGATCAGCTCTAGATTTATAAAATGTTCATAAATTTCATTTTATGAAAAATGGTAACCACAGTGAATAGCATAAAATCTATTTATGAAAAAATGTTATAAAAAGAGTAACATCAAGTTTTCAAAAAATAACAGAATGTCAATTAAAAACAGGTTCTTAGCTTTATTGCTAAGAATTGCCTATACGACAACTATCATAATTTGGATACCCAAATCCTCTACCTCCGTTGATAACTTCGGCAAAAAAATCAGTTATAAATTGTATTGCATACAAATACAAAGATTGGACAGCTCCAAAAGTTCCATGTATAATTGGCTCATAAGGTTCAATATACAAATATGAATGATGATAACTTCTGACACTATAAATTGTCCACAAATTAATACAAAGTTTTAATATAGATGGAAAGAGCAAATAAAATTTTGCTTACCGATAAATAATAAAAAGTATTAAAGCCTCTATAAGAAGAATTATTGCTAGGACTACTGTCCAATTACACCCTTCACAAGTTTTATTTTTTCTATAACATTTGGTTCTTTGTATATTATAGTTGTTTGATGATTAATGTTTCTGTAAATGAACTTGTTCAAATAAGGTGATAATTAATTCATATTTGACTTAATTTATACTATCTTCGCCGTGGTTATTCGCATTACCTATATTACAAAACATCAAATGAAACTCCGATACTGTTATCTATAGAGCTAATGATATATAAATTTTTATTAATATATATTGATACTTTAATAATGCTGATCTGTTACTCAATTTAAAATCAATTTAAAATATATTATATACGACATAAATTTTATTAGCAGGATTAAAGGAAATAGTATAAAAGTAGCTACGGTTTTCTCATATTCATTCAGAATTCCTATTATTTAAAAGTTCGAGAACCAAGATTATTAGAATGAAAGAGAATTTAATACAAATTATTCGATTATATTTAAAAGAACGGGAAGCAAGCATATTAACTATGAAAAAAGATAGTAGATTAAAACCTCCTTATTTGATTTATCAAAAATTGAAAGAACAATTTGTAGGCACCAACTATAATATACAAAGAACCAAATGTTATAGAAAAAATAAAACTTGTGAAGGGTGTAATTGGATAGTAGTCCTAGCAATAATTCTTCTTATGGAGGCTTTAATACTTTTTATTATTTATTGGTAAGCAAAATTTTATTTGCTCTTTCTATCTATATTAAAACTTTGTATTAATTTGTGGACAATTTATAGTGTCAGAAGTTATCGTCATTCATATTTGTATATTGAACCTTATGAGCCAATTATACATGGAACTTTTGGAGCTGACCAATCTTTGTATTTGTTTGCAATACAATTTATAACCGATTTTTTTGCCGAAGTTATCAACAGAGGTAGAGGATTTGGGCATCCAAATTATGATGGTTTAGTGCCATACTAAAAATAAATGGAATCACAAATATTTTAGTTAGATTATGAGATTTTATCACCAAATTGTGTTTCACGTAGCTATATATTAATTATTTCCCATGATTAAAACCGAGAACTTTGTAGTTATCTCTTAAGTATCTGCAATAAAAAATTATATTTCCCAAAGTTACGAACCAAAGTTATATTTACTAGAGTTACGAATTAATTTTACCAAAATTATTTTACCAGAGTTATGAATTAATTGACCAGGGTAAAATCGCCAAAAATCATGTGATATTGTCAGTTAATCATAATAATAATATTTAGTAAAATATTAATTGATTCAGTAAGTGATTTTTTTTCTTTAATTCTTCAAAATGAAAAGCGATCGTTGCAATCTCGGCAAACCAAGTGATTCTTTTAAAAGCATAAAATCCAATAAACACAATATATTAATTGTCAATTAATTGTCAAAACTAAATTTCCGCTAATAATAAGTGAAAAAAGAATGTACAATTATAATACTAATTATGAAATGTAATTGCACCAGAAAACCTTGCAGATTTTATTTTTAATGCTCTTTCAGAAGACTATAACTGATTATTAAGTTTTTATAATTCTGAAAAAACGACAAATCCAAATGGTAACAAATGGTTCAATAGTATTAATATAAACTTTGAGCCATTGCATAAGGCTGTTCGAAGTTATTCTTTGGCTAAAATCACCCCCAGCTGAAGTTTCCCCTGAAAAATGAACAACCAATCAGTTAATTTTACTAAAATTATGTTTACCAGAGCTACAAAATAATTCAAAGTTATATTTACTAGAGTTATGAATTAATTTTACCAAAATTATATTTACCAGAGTTACGAATTAATTCTACCAAAAATATGTATACCAAGATAACGAATTAATTCTACCAAAATTATGTTTACCAGAGTTACAAATTAATTCTACCAAAATCATATTTACCAGAGTTACGAAATAACTCTACCAAAATTATGTTACGAAATAATTTACCAAAATTATGTTTACTAATTAATCACACCAACATCAGAATTACGAATTTACCGGAAAAATTTTAATAAGAAGTCGAATTCAAAAATTTTTTGGATGCAAAAAATACTAGAGCCATGATATTGCATTAACGAAGTCATTAACATAGTTATAAATACAAAATAAGAATTTTTATATTTATGTAGCACTGAATTTTAAATATTATTTTTATTGCTAAAATTTATTTATGATATTTTTTATAAGGGAAGATTGAAGAACAAGTACCCAGTGATATATTCATGTCATCACATCACATGGCTAATCATTTGGTCTAAGTTAATATTAGTTTTAGATTTAGGTAATAGTATAGTTTGGCCCAAGTTGTTAGTGCTAGTAAACAAATAACATAATCGCATGATCTCATATGATGTAAGATCCTCAAGGTTGTAGTAGTTTTGTCTTTTGAACTTAATTTCTCTTTTCTTTTCATGACATATCAGTTGCTGCTTTTCTGTAAATGATATATGCGTTTTTTTCATCTTTCTCGATGCCTAGATTTTTTGTCGAGGCTAGAGTTGTGAGCTGTAAACTTTGTCAGTTTTAGAGTTAACTGTAGTTTTAGTTGTTGAGAGAAAAGGGTCTTTAAATAACTATTTCTTCAGAATAAAACCTCTGTGATGGAAAAGAAAAGAATATTTATATGATAATTACAAACTGTGTTTATTTTAAAAAATAAATATTTTAATTTTAAAATTAAACAATAAAAGATAATGTTTGAGTTTAAAGATAAATAAATTTAAGATCTAACACAATCTATTAAATTATATAAAATCAATCTAGATATATCTTTGTTATTGAATAAATAACTAACTACTTCATAATGATATTGCCTATCTTTGCAGAATTCTTTTAAATATTATGCAAATTCAAAAACTTCCACAATATCTATTGGTCTTCTTAAATGATTACAAGAAAAATAATTATCATTTTTATCAAAGTCATTATATCTTTTACAGACTTTACAATACAGTTGAACTGGTTTATAATTATATTCACTACATTTGTCTTCTAACAATTGTTTAAATATTAATTTAGCTTTTTTAGAATAAGTCTGATTTCCAATAACTTTATTAATAAGTCTTTTTATTCCTTTTTTATCTGATTCTGATAATTTGTCATCAATATTATCAAGCAGCAATTTTATTTTTCTTTTAAATAGTATAAGGACATCCTTATCTAATTCTTTATTGTTTTTGTTAAGATAGGGATGATTTATTTTGAATAATTTGTATGATGTTTTAAAATCAGAGGCAACGTCATGAAAACATTTTATAATTTTTTTATAAAATGATGACAAGATTTGGGTATTATTTTTAAATTGTTTTTTGATAGAACTTGAGTCTTTCATTTGATTTGATTTTATAATCAAGATTTAAGTATTTGTTGTTTATGTTTTTGATTGTAGATTTATTATCAAATTAATTTAAATTTAAAAGTTGAGTAGAGTTAGAGGAGCATGTATTTATATTCGATAACTTTATACACGCGTGAGTATTCAAATTCCGAATTCTAATTTGAGTTTTGTGATATATTTATAAACTTTAATTAATTTTTGCAATTAAAAATTTTTACGCGTGTAATTTAGCTCTATTTCTTTGTTTAATATATGCTTAATTTAAAAAAAAAAGATCTTTAACTAAATTCTTGAAACAAGAACAAAAGTTTTTGCACTTTCCAAGTGGTTAATTTTAAATAATTCAAAATAAGAAAAGGTCTAAACAAAATGTTTTGAGTGGTATTAGATTAATTTAATCATTTTATTAATTTAACTTTAAAAATAGCATTTGGCCAAAAAACATATTTACCTTAATAGTGACATGTAAAAGCGCCAAAATCTTCGTGTATAGAATTCCAAATTGAATCTAATTGGACCAAGAATACTTTGTTCAAAATTGGTTTGTTTTAAAAGTCTATGCCGCTTTTAAATTAAGTAAGAATATAAAACGAAGAAATGAGTGAAGGATTGGATCAGTTAGTATAATTAAGTAATGGTACAAAATAGAATAAGATATTTAATGATGTGCAAATAGAAGTATTATTGAAAACCACTCAGAAATTTTTTGTTCCAGAAATCATTATGTGATTACACTAAAAGTTTGTGCCACATTTAAATCAAGGATTAAACAAAGAAATTGAGCTTAAGTACACGTATGGATCGGATCCATTTAGTAGATATTTAATTACACGAATAGTTATGTCACATAGAGATTGAATTTTGTTTAGTACATTATCTGTTTAATTGTATAATTGTATACTATATTATACGGTCTTTAGTCTGAATGATTAACCATTTTGATAAGCATGAAACAAAAATTCTCATACGTATTCGGCTTTTATACGAATGGTTAAACAAATTTTGAGTAGTTAATTTATCGAGTAAATTAACCACTCGGAAAGTGCAAGACTTTTTGTTTAAAGTTGTTCTTGTTTCAAGAATTTAATTAAAATTAAATTAGCCATTTTTTAATTAAGTGCATATTAAACAAAGAAATAGAGCTACTGAATATCACGTGTGTTCACTTCAATAGGATTTCATCTTACACGTTATTAATTTAATTCTAAAAAATAGTATATTTTATTCTATTCGGACAAAAGACAATGCAAACTATAAATTATAAAGAGTATAAATAATCTATAGGTTACTTTAAATCTATGGATGTCGGTTGTTTATCTCAGACCTTGTTTGAATACTGCATTAATAGTTTACAATTTAATTTATTGAATATATGATCATGTTTCTTCATCATAGCATATCTTAAAATCAGGTATAACATAGCATGATTAAAAAAATTCAAAACGAACGTTCGTTTTGAATTTTTTTAATCATGCTATGTTATACCTGATTTTAAGATATGCTATGATGAAGAAACATGATCATATATTCAATAAATTAAATTGTAAACTATTAATGCAGTATTCAAACAAGGTCTGAGATAAACAACCGACATCCATAGATTTAAAGTAACCTATAGATTATTTATACTCTTTATAATTTATAGTTTGCATTGTCTTTTGTCCGAATAGAATAAAATATACTATTTTTTAGAATTAAATTAATAACGTGTAAGATGAAATCCTATTGAAGTGAACACACGTGATATTCAGTAGCTCTATTTCTTTGTTTAATATGCACTTAATTAAAAAATGGCTAATTTAATTTTAATTAAATTCTTGAAACAAGAACAACTTTAAACAAAAAGTCTTGCACTTTCCGAGTGGTTAATTTACTCGATAAATTAACTACTCAAAATTTGTTTAACCATTCGTATAAAAGCCGAATACGTATGAGAATTTTTGTTTCATGCTTATCAAAATGGTTAATCATTCAGACTAAAGACCGTATAATATAGTATACAATTATACAATTAAACAGATAATGTACTAAACAAAATTCAATCTCTATGTGACATAACTATTCGTGTAATTAAATATCTACTAAATGGATCCGATCCATACGTGTACTTAAGCTCAATTTCTTTGTTTAATCCTTGATTTAAATGTGGCACAAACTTTTAGTGTAATCACATAATGATTTCTGGAACAAAAAATTTCTGAGTGGTTTTCAATAATACTTCTATTTGCACATCATTAAATATCTTATTCTATTTTGTACCATTACTTAATTATACTAACTGATCCAATCCTTCACTCATTTCTTCGTTTTATATTCTTACTTAATTTAAAAGCGGCATAGACTTTTAAAACAAACCAATTTTGAACAAAGTATTCTTGGTCCAATTAGATTCAATTTGGAATTCTATACACGAAGATTTTGGCGCTTTTACATGTCACTATTAAGGTAAATATGTTTTTTGGCCAAATGCTATTTTTAAAGTTAAATTAATAAAATGATTAAATTAATCTAATACCACTCAAAACATTTTGTTTAGACCTTTTCTTATTTTGAATTATTTAAAATTAACCACTTGGAAAGTGCAAAAACTTTTGTTCTTGTTTCAAGAATTTAGTTAAAGATCTTTTTTTTTTAAATTAAGCATATATTAAACAAAGAAATAGAGCTAAATTACACGCGTAAAAATTTTTAATTGCAAAAATTAATTAAAGTTTATAAATATATCACAAAACTCAAATTAGAATTCGGAATTTGAATACTCACGCGTGTATAAAGTTATCGAATATAAATACATGCTCCTCTAACTCTACTCAACTTTTAAATTTAAATTAATTTGATAATAAATCTACAATCAAAAACATAAACAACAAATACTTAAATCTTGATTATAAAATCAAATCAAATGAAAGACTCAAGTTCTATCAAAAAACAATTTAAAAATAATACCCAAATCTTGTCATCATTTTATAAAAAAATTATAAAATGTTTTCATGACGTTGCCTCTGATTTTAAAACATCATACAAATTATTCAAAATAAATCATCCCTATCTTAACAAAAACAATAAAGAATTAGATAAGGATGTCCTTATACTATTTAAAAGAAAAATAAAATTGCTGCTTGATAATATTGATGACAAATTATCAGAATCAGATAAAAAAGGAATAAAAAGACTTATTAATAAAGTTATTGGAAATCAGACTTATTCTAAAAAAGCTAAATTAATATTTAAACAATTGTTAGAAGACAAATGTAGTGAATATAATTATAAACCAGTTCAACTGTATTGTAAAGTCTGTAAAAGATATAATGACTTTGATAAAAATGATAATTATTTTTCTTGTAATCATTTAAGAAGACCAATAGATATTGTGGAAGTTTTTGAATTTGCATAATATTTAAAAGAATTCTGCAAAGATAGGCAATATCATTATGAAGTAGTTAGTTATTTATTCAATAACAAAGATATATCTAGATTGATTTTATATAATTTAATAGATTGTGTTAGATCTTAAATTTATTTATCTTTAAACTCAAACATTATCTTTTATTGTTTAATTTTAAAATTAAAATATTTATTTTTTAAAATAAACACAGTTTGTAATTATCATATAAATATTCTTTTCTTTTCCATCACAGAGGTTTTATTCTGAAGAAATAGTTATTTAAAGACCCTTTTCTCTCAACAACTAAAACTACAGTTAACTCTAAAACTGACAAAGTTTACAGCTCACAACTCTAGCCTCGACAAAAAATCTAGGCATCGAGAAAGATGAAAAAAACGCATATATCATTTACAGAAAAGCAGCAACTGATATGTCATGAAAAGAAAAGAGAAATTAAGTTCAAAAGACAAAACTACTACAACCTTGAGGATCTTACATCATATGAGATCATGCGATTATGTTATTTGTTTACTAGCACTAACAACTTGGGCCAAACTATACTATTACCTAAATCTAAAACTAATATTAACTTAGACCAAATGATTAGCCATGTGATGTGATGACATGAATATATCACTGGGTACTTGTTCTTCAATCTTCCCTTATAAAAAATATCATAAATAAATTTTAGCAATAAAAATAATATTTAAAATTCAGTGCTACATAAATATAAAAATTCTTATTTTGTATTTATAACTATGTTAATGACTTCGTTAATGCAATATCATGGCTCTAGTATTTTTTGCATCCAAAAAATTTTTGAATTCGACTTCTTATTAAAATTTTTCCGGTAAATTCGTAATTCTGATGTTGGTGTGATTAATTAGTAAACATAATTTTGGTAAATTATTTCGTAACATAATTTTGGTAGAGTTATTTCGTAACTCTGGTAAATATGATTTTGGTAGAATTAATTTGTAACTCTGGTAAACATAATTTTGGTAGAATTAATTCGTTATCTTGGTATACATATTTTTGGTAGAATTAATTCGTAACTCTGGTAAATATAATTTTGGTAAAATTAATTCATAACTCTAGTAAATATAACTTTGAATTATTTTGTAGCTCTGGTAAACATAATTTTAGTAAAATTAACTGATTGGTTGTTCATTTTTCAGGGGAAACTTCAGCTGGGGGTGATTTTAGCCAAAGAATAACTTCGAACAGCCTTATGCAATGGCTCAAAGTTTATATTAATACTATTGAACCATTTGTTACCATTTGGATTTGTCGTTTTTTCAGAATTATAAAAACTTAATAATCAGTTATAGTCTTCTGAAAGAGCATTAAAAATAAAATCTGCAAGGTTTTCTGGTGCAATTACATTTCATAATTAGTATTATAATTGTACATTCTTTTTTCACTTATTATTAGCGGAAATTTAGTTTTGACAATTAATTGACAATTAATATATTGTGTTTATTGGATTTTATGCTTTTAAAAGAATCACTTGGTTTGCCGAGATTGCAACGATCGCTTTTCATTTTGAAGAATTAAAGAAAAAAAATCACTTACTGAATCAATTAATATTTTACTAAATATTATTATT